GCAATCTGTCGCTCAGCACCCGCCTGTCTCCGTGAACTCGTCAACCCCTGTGTCTGGGGCCGACGTCCCGCTGCTGGGGCGTGCGGCCTGGCATATGGGGGGGGCGAGGGAGTGGAGGCAGGAGGGAAGAGGGATAGTTCCCTCGCGGCTGGGTCGGACGTAGTCCGGCCCTTCCGGGAGGGAGCGGGGCCCCGGGTACACGTCGGGTCTGTGACCCGCGTCGCCCGGTTGGCCCGGCATGGACGGGGGATCGGGGCCGCTCGGACGTTTCCGAGGCAGGGTCTGGTCTCCCGGAGGACCCTGGGGGCCGCTGGGACGTACTCCCAGGCAGGGCCTCGGGGTCCGTGGGGTTGGTCAGCAAGCCTGCCGGCCAACACCCGGTCCTCCGCGACGAAGCGGCCGGTCCCCGCGTCTGGGGCCGACGTCCCGCTGCTGGGGCGTGCGGTCTGGCGTACGGGGCCGGTCGTGGAGGGCGGAGGGCCGGTCGTGTGCTTGGTGTGTGAGTGAGCCGCGGTCGGCTGCCGGTGGATATTTCCCTGAGACTAACCAAGGGGGGAGTAGTAAACCCCCCGACCGGGGACGAGCGGTGACGTCTGTACCTGACCTCTGCCATGGACTACGCGGGACCGTAAGACCAGTTCACTGGCAAAGTCCGCAGGAAGTGGCATGTTCAATGTGGGAAAACCGCTCCCGTCTCGTCCGTCTGGAGCCAATCAGGGCGTTGAAGCCGGCAGTCCGGGCGCGGGTGTGGAGAGGCGCATAGCCAGCGTCCTCTCATACCCAGTGAGGGGGGATATTCCCTTGCAACTTCTAGCCCCGGGGAGGAGTATGCGGCCGATCGGATCAGTGCGCGCTCCTCTCTGGGGGTGAAGCAAAACCTTTAGCATCACAGTGGGTCTGGCCGTCTCCAGGGACCCTTTTTCTAGAAGCACCGACCGGGATAGGGGATGGCTCCCCCGAAAAAGGCATCTCCTCTGCCCAGTCTTTAAATAGGGAATATTAACACCGGGGATAGTACCCCCACCGCGGTGGGGGTCCCATGATGGGCGAACCGGTTCATAAAATCATTGCCGAATATGGATCTCAACAAAACAACCAGGAAGAGAGGAGGAAAAAAGGACAACAGGACGGGCAACCCCCAATGGACAACGGACGGTGGGAAGGAAAGAGCCCAAGGGAAGACCCGACAAGGAGTCGCCGGCACGTCGGCAATGAGGGCAAGCGGCACAAGACCAGGGCGGGCATGCTCAAAGAGGGCAAGGGAGCTTCCACTCCCGACGGACTCGGAAGAGTCCGATACAGAGAAGATGGTCGATGTCGACGTGGAGTATGACTCATCCACGGGCGATGAATCGTCCTCCGGCTCGTCGGTGGATCAGTCTACCGGCAAGAGGAAGAAGAGAGGAAGGACCCCAAAAACATATGAGGGGCTTAAGATGAGGAAAAAGGTGGAATGCCGGCAAGAGATTAAAAAACTCAAAGCCGAAAAGAAGGCGCTGGAGGATGTGCTCAATTCCCAAGTGGCACTTCGCTGCGGGACGCCGGAGAGGGACACCATCCGCCAGATGGAAGGGCTAAACAACGCCCAGATAGCGGCAGAGATGCTGGATAGCATCAACGCCGTGATGAAGGTAGCCGAGAGGTCAAAGAACCTCAAAGGCACCTTTGTTAAGGAGCTCAAGGTCAGCTCCAGCAAGCTGAGGGCTGCAGCCACTGTGGTGAGCAAGAAGACGGCTAGTTCCACCAACGCGGCCCTAGAGGAGGAGACGGAGAGGCTGAGGGAAAGAGTCAAGAGCCTCGAGGAACAGGTGGGGAAGTTGACGGCGCTTCTCCAGGAAGAGAGAGAGGCCAGAGCAAGGGTGGAGAGGATGGAGGAGAACGAGGCAATGATGGAGGAGATGCCTAACCATCACCTCCCCCAAGCTCGAACACAAAGCCCCGCAAAGCCTGAGGCGATCGCGAAGTCCACTCGAGCCAAGGTTCAGGCGAAAAAGCAGGAGGCAGAGGGAAGGGAGAAATCGGTGTCGGTCCTGAGCGAGGACCCGGTTTACCGCCCGATGGTCAGAGGAGTAAGGAGGGCTCTAGAGGAACCTCCACTCGAGGCAGCCATGGAGGGCGTAATAAAGGTGATGGAGGGGGTCTCCATTAAGGACGTTATTAATGGAGACCCGCAAGACATAAGGAGCAACCTGGAGAACCTGATTGCCAGGTGCCAGGGTGCTCTAACCCGAATCCCGAGGGAGACCAGGTCGGGAGAAGAGATCGGCAAGAGAAGCCTGCCTGTCATTACGAAGGTGGAGAAAGTAAAGGACAGGCTGAGGGTGAGGGCTAAGGAGACGGCGGCGCGAATTATTCGTGACTCGAAGGCGCCCGACGAACAGGCCCCCAATCCTCCGAACACCTCCTGGGTGGAGGTGACAAGGAAGAAAGGGAAGAAGAAGCCAAGGGCCAACAGCAAGGAACCGGCAGTGAGGCCCACGAAGCCCGAGGCTGCGACAACAGGCAAAGGGGAGAAAAAGGCGTCATATGCGGACGCAGCAAAAAGGAGGCCAGCCGACATCAGAGCGGCCAATGGAGGGAAGGCGCGCCAGCCACCCCCAACAGGGGGCGGCAAAGTGGAGCCAAGACCCCAGCGGGCTGAGACCAAGGAAGCAGCCAAGCCAGCAACCCAAGGGGCAAAGCCGCAGGAACCGGCCCGGAGGAAAAGGAGGACCCCACGATCGGAGGCCGTTACGATCACATTCCCTGTGGGGGAAAGCGCACAGGGGATGCGGGACATCCGGTCGAAAGTGGACCTCGAGGCCCTGGGGATAGGGCCCATGAAGCAGAGGAGGGCGCTCACGGGAGCCCTGGTATTCGAAATATCGGGGCCGGAGAGCGCAGCAAAAGCCGACGCCCTAGCGAAAGAAATCCGCGGGGCAGTAGAGGGCAAAGAAGGCGTTCGGGTCTCTCGTCCACTAAAGATGGCAGAGATCCGAATCAAAGACCGTCCAGACGAGTCCATCACAAAAGAGGAAATCTGCCAGGCCATAGCCCAGGTGGGAGGATGTCACCAAGGGGAGATTAGAATGGGCCAACCCAGGAAGGCTCCCAAAGGCTTGGCGACAGTTTGGGCCCAGTGCCCAGTTGCGGCAGCGGCGAAGGTCACGTCGGAGAAGCGCATTAGGGTAGGGTGGGTGTCAGTACGGGTAGAAATGCTCGACGCCCGCCCCCTAGTGTGCTTCCGGTGCCTTGTAAGGGGGCACGTCCGGGAGCAATGCCGCAATCCCACTGACCGTAGCACCCTTTGCTACAGGTGCGGCAAGGAGGGACACAGGGCGCAGACCTGCGTTGACGAACTCAACTGCCCGGTCTGCAGCGCAAGAGGCCTCCCGGCGCGTCACAAGGCGGGAGGAGCGGCTTGCCCCCCGTTGTCGAGGAAGGCCACTAAGAAGGCCAGAAGGACGGGGGCACAAAAGCCAAAAGAGGTGGAGAACAATGCGGCCAGGGGAGGAGTCGACGGAGCGGTAGCGATGGAGACCGAACCCCTGGCTGTAGTACAGGGAACCGAACCATCGGTGAGCAGAGGGGGAGAAGGCCAGGAGGAGGCCGTTGCGGCATCGCCTTCACCATGTTAAAGGCGATGCAGGCGAACCTGGCCCGCTCCCGCCAGGCACAGGACCTTTTCCTGCACAGCCTGGCGGAGAGAAACTGTGGCCTGGGCATAGCCG